CCTGGTTCTGATTCGTCAGCTGATGGCCTGACACCAAATTATTTTAAAGTGAGTGGAAAATAAATAAAACTTTTTATGTACATGTACATGTAATAAGGATAAGGACATCAGGGTTTCCCACAAAGCATGCTAAGTGAGCTAAAAAGTATTATGCTTCATGAGCTGAAAGCCTAAAAATTTGTAAAAAAATCTAAACTTGATCGGAATCAGCTCAAATTTTCTGCACAACATAAGAACACGTATTTGTATAAGGAAAAATTATAAAAATTGAGAATTCACAACTTTTTATTTTTGGCGAAATTTGGCCAACGCCCCTGTACTATAGTACAGGGACTTTAACTCGATTTTGGAGCGACTTTAAAAATTCATTAAAAATCCAAACTTGATCGGAATCAGCTCAAAATTCCTGCACAACATAAGAACATGTATATGTATAAGGAAAAATTATAAAAATGGAGAATTCTCAATTTTTTATTTTTGGCAAAATTTGGCCAACGCCCCTGTACTATAGTACAGGGACTTTGACCCAATTTTTGAGCAACTTTAAAAATTCATTAAAAAAATCAAACTTGATCGGAATCAGCTCAAACTTTCTACATAACATAAGAACTTGTATATGTATCAGAAAAAATTATGAAAATAGAAAATTCTCTCCTAAAAGTTTTTGACAAAATACCCTGTACCAGTACAAAGTACAGGGACTTTGGCCAAATCTTGGAGCACCTTGAAAATCCACTGACAAGATGCTACATTCATAAAGGCAGTGATAGACATTGTTATTTTATTTTAAAGGTATCTGCTAGTGTTGATGATCTAACTTCTGGTGGTGAGGATCGTAACTCTATCCATTCCTTTGGGTCTAATCACAGTGGAGGAGGAGGAGGGGACGGGGCTAAGATTAATTTTGAATTATCGGCAGCTGCTAACACCCAAAGCACCGTTGTCTGATAATAAGTACACAATAATACCCACTGATAATAATTAATAATAATTATTATGACTTGATATTGTGATTATAATATACTCTTTATCATTCTTCCTCTCTCTCTCTCTTTCTTGGAACTACTCGTGTTGTTTGCTTGTCTTATTGCTTTAATAACATTATTATTATTATTATTATTATTATTATTATTATTATTATTATTATTATAATTGTTGCATTTCTCAAGAGGTTAGATCCACTCATAGTGATATCCAGTGGAATGGAGGAGTAGAAATTACTAGTAGTAAATGACAATGATACACAACCAGGTCATTCTACAGCTGGAGAGTAATTTTTATAAAAGAGAGACTGAGAAATAGATAGGAAGAGATAAGCTTCATAGATACATGTACATGCAGTTATGTGTACAGTCAGTTCCATTACCTGTACATGTACATGTACTTCATTCTGTTGATATTCTATTATTGGAATACTTTAATGCTGTAGCTACCATAACTAATTAATGACATCATCATAAAATCATATAGTGACTGTGATATCATAATAGTATCTACCATTGGGTGGAACTAATCTTAGCTCTAGATATGAATATTGTGTACACATACATGTAAATGTAATGTACATATTTTTAAATGGAACTTCCACCCAGTACTGCAGTGAATCATTATATGTGCTTTGTTAAAGGTTAGTTAGTGTAGTGTTTGTACTGTAGACAAGATTCTGTCAACATTTCCAAGATGTCTTTCCTTTTATGGAAGTATATTTGGACTCTATTGAGGAAATATCAATATACACTGACTACTTGTGACAGGAACTGCTTCCTTATCCACCAGCATTGTGCTAAATAGCATCCATTAATATAAGGCAAGAATTAACTTGAAGAAACCAACATATGCTTAGCTGTAGAATTGACTTATAAAATGTTTACAACACTTAGAAAAATGTGATTTCATCTTGGTGTATAAAACAACATTTTTATTTAAAGAAAATTATACACTTATAATTATGTTAAAATATAATTCAACTATAATGAAGTATAGCTAATTACATAAAAATGGCATAATAACTACAATGTACTTAATAACTATATATTTTCTTGTATACATGTACATTCCAGCAAATTAAGCATTGTACACTAAAAATAGCAACTACTACTAATAATTATAAGTTTAGTCTAATGTAACTACCAGTATGTAACTAAAGTTTTAATTAGTCTGTAATCCTGGCATGCCATTAAAGTTCTTTTGTTGATCCTATATTAATAATCAATTTATTATCTTTAATAATTAATTGTCATCTCACTTATATTCTCAGCGACTGATGTCTCTCCTATTTCAGCTACAGCAATAGCTAGTTTGTCCCATGTTGCTTCAATATCCTCCCTAAGCCATTTTGCTAAACATTCTCTGAGACATCGCTCGGCATCTCGTGTACAGTTATCCTCAATAGTCTTTAGATCATCATGAAACAGACCCAAGTAGAGACCAAGATCAAACCATTTTGTAGTTTGAAAATGACTGTCTTTTAGCACTCGTAATATCTCCACCAGATCCCTGATTGTCAATATGACTATTATATAAATAAATTATGTAAAACTAGTGACAGTGAGTGGTTATACCTTTTTCTTGATCATCACCGGACTCACTGATCTGTATGGGCGAGTGAATTGTAGTTGATATGACCTCTTGAATTGTTGGCTCTATTTAGAGTATAAACATAAAACAATTATGTATATGTACATGTATTAGCATGGGTTGGTTATAATCTTACTAGTACTAGCTTCATTAATCGCTTTCAATGGTGCCGGAATCTGGGTTATAACAGTACAGTAAAACATTACTGTTACTAATAAATTGAATACCTCTTGGAGTTGTTTTTCCTGTGACATATTTTCTTTAAACCACAGTGACTCATTAATGGTTAGAGGGCGAGGAATTCTTTTCATTTTGCAGTAAACAGGATCAGAGTATGTCTTCTCAGTATCAATGTCTTGAATGTAATGGACTTCACTGGAAAGACTGCATTGACAAACATACTGTACTTTTCTTGATGATTGATCAACATGATGGCCATGGTGAAGAGTTTCTTCAACCTTTTGGCAGCATTCATCTAACAATTTTAATATTTGTTGACAGATGGTTCTAAAAGGAACAGGATGACTACTCTCAGGGACATATCTCAACACATCAACTTGAATAGCTTTATTAACATCAGTGAGAACAAAATCATCAGTAGGATGACCATAAGAGAAGCAGACACGATTACGATAGATACCTTTTCTCTCAACTTTTAAGCGTAACTTCATGGTAATAGCTAATCGATCAAAAAAACCAGCAGTAGGTACTGCCTTAGCATTATCAAAATTGAGCTTAACATTGCTATTTGTGGCAACAGCAGTTGCTAAACGAGTGAAGAACCCAGGAGGTACATACCCAGTGGTGAATGTAATGTGTACAGGTGAGGCTCTTAGCTTATAACCAGGTTGTGCTTCATTAGGGTCACCTGTGTATCCTGGTAGCACTGCTGGAAGAAAATACTGCTTGAATCTGCTATCATAAAGCTCAGTTTGAACTTGAGCTGCAAGACGAAAATGAACTAAAAGTTCAATTATTTCTTCTGGATCAATACCACTTGACTGCCATACTTCTTGATAGAGTGGTTGAACAAGAATACCATTATTTCGCACCAAAAACCATCTTCTTGTTCCACTCCATCCTTCTTCACATCCTTCTAGTGTGAGCACCTTCCCAATGGTATCAACAAACCATTTTGGACTGAGAATGACTTTATTCTTCAGTCCTTCTATTTGAGGATAGTAAAGCACAGCTCCCAGCTCATGGTAGAATTTCAATACCTCAGGAACAACAGCCTCTGGTATATGACATGCTGCTCCAATGGCAATAGCATCAGATAGACTAATGACATCCTGGTTTAGCTTTTGAAAAATTTTGCGAAACAGAACCCAATTGACAGGGGTTGAAACAACTAACTTATTGATAAAACCATTAATAGCTTTACGTAATTCTGTAATGCTGGGATCTTCTTCTTCTGCTTTGCCTGAAGTCGTATTATCAATGATCAGCACATCTTTAATAAGATCTGAGAAATCTTTCTCCTCATACAGGGACTGGATTTGTTTCTTTACTCGTTCTTTCTGCCATTTTGCTTTTAGCTTGTCACCACGAGTGCCAATACAATAGAGACTAGGGGAAGAAGTATCATCTTTGTTGTGCTTCATGAGGTGACTGTGTATTGTAGACATCCATTTGGCCATTAGATCACTCGTGCTTTCATTCACTACCTCACCAAACAGCACTTCACCATCAGGGGTATTCTGACGTGACTGCCATCTTTTCTTGAAATCCTTTGAAGCATCAAATAGGAGGAGAAACATTGTACGAGGAGTGAG